TTTGGCGCTTCCATCGAGGCGGTCATCCTTCATTTCTTCTTTTCTTGCTTTCTGGAAGCAGTTAGGGAATGTATGATGAAGCAGAAATGAGCCGTCAGGATGATATTTTAATGGCTTATATGTCACGTTGGTGCATGTGGCTTTGAACTGGAGCAGCTTTCGTTTCCTGCAGAGAGCGTGCCGCAAATCCCACTTGATAACTTCTACAACCCACAACATTTTTTTTTTCCTTACATTCACTCTTACACCGTATATTTAGATATGCTTCCTAAAAATACACTCCCGTCCGCCTTCCTGCGAGCTTTGTGCGGACCTGGCACTGTCACTGCTCCCCCTGCACTTGGAGGCATCCTCGCCCCACGTTGCCCAACTTTCAGGCTCTCCTGATGCCATCACCCTGAAGATGCCCCCATTACGCTGACAACTCTGTCCCATCGCTCCGGTTAATTTTAGAACCAAACGCAGAGATTAATGGGACGTCCGCACAGGATCACGTCCCGCAGAGGCACGCAGGGCGGGTGTACCTGTTGCTCTAAGCTACTGCAATTCCTCCGAGCGGATTTTGCAGAATAAACGCGTACGTGTAGATTCAGCCCCTCATTATTCCGAAAAGCTGCAAATCCTCCCAAGCTCCAAGAGGGAAATTACATAATACATCTGCTCTGGAAGGGACCCTCACGCACTGAGCACAGGCAAAGTGCATCTGCAGATAAACTGCAGCGGAGGGCTCCTTGAAGGCATATCAAAGTTTATTTGTTGCTCGGTCGTTGGTTGCTTTCCTCCTTGGGCTGCATCCATTGCCACCCCTCCTGGCACCGTGCACTTCCCAGCGCTGCTGGCGGTGCCGCTGCCGCCCGCTCCGGTACCTGCGCGGCGGTGGCTGCCCGCGCCCTTCATTAGCACCGGGAGTTGAAAGTTTCTTTGTTTGCCACCACGAATTGGAGGGGCTCAGATTTAGTTGCGAATAAGCCAAGTGAAGGGCTGAACAAAGGCGAAATTGAAGGATTCCGAGTCTTAGCGAGCTTTTTGTGTTTTCGTTACTAGAAAATAATTAGACCTAATGAATATGCAGGCGACCGAGTAAATAAACAATTTGCCGGGTTTCTGTGCGCGTACACACACATGTGCACGCACATAAGTGTATATACACACACGTATGCATCTATTGTAAAGTTTCGCGAGGTCTGTTTTTTTTTCAGAGCCGAAGCATCGTTTAAAATATTGTACAAATGTTGCTCGGCTTAATTGATTAAGCCACAAAGGCTTCTGCTTTAAATATCACACTTCTACCTCTCGACAATCATTTTAATATATAGTCAATGGCTCTTTGTAGCGAGAACAAAAAAGAACTATCCGCAGATTTTCAATAGACTTTGAGCTGGGGAAAGACAGGTTAATCGAGGGTTGCATCTAGAAAACAACCAAGTGTTGTATGTTTGCACTGAATCCAAATGTCTGCATTTTTCTAACTAAATCAAAGGGAGTGTTATTTCTTTTTCTGCTCACTCATCTGAAGGTAAGTAAATTTTCCCTGGCGATCAAAAGCCTGGTCAGCAACAAAGGCACCGCCTGCTTTTTCCACCGTCCTGGTGTGGCAAGTTGAGGAATTTCAATAACTGTGACAAGGGTGACTGATTTGTGAACTAGAAAAGGTTTGGATGTCAGAAAATTTACATTGCTCCTATCGATGGTTTGAAATGAAATAGGAATAAAGATAGATGGGAAAGGAAAAAAAAAGAAAAAAGAAAAAAAAAAAGAAAAAAGAAAAAAGGACGCGGGAGTTTCATGCAGCAGAGCGAGGAACGATGTCTGCTTGAGAAATCCACAGTTTTTACCTGAATGAAAGAGACCCCGTAAAAAGAGCGAGAGAAAGGGGGGGGGGGGGGGGAAGAGAAAGGAGAAATGAAAAAACAGAAAAGAGGAGAAAGAGCAACAGCAGAAGTAGAAAGTGAAGAGTTCTCACCCACCTGCGTGTTGATGGGGGCAGAAAACAAGATTTATTTCAGAAAAGTGGTGGAGGGCAGAGGCAGCTCCCCCCAGAATCACGCCTGTTGGCTACAAATAAAGCCCAGCGCACCCAGCACCTACTCTCGGAGAGTTCCGGTATTAACCAGGCGGCAAACAGCAACTTCAAAAGCAGCGAGTCACTACGGGGCTCCTCTTTTCAGAGCCTAAAAAGTTGCTCAGTGATCTTAAAAAATCGGGATCACCACGAAACCATCATTACCGTCATTATAGGAGTGCTGGAGCGAGAGGGGCAGAGAGAGAGGGAGATAGGGGGAGAAAGGAACCCAAAGAATAATCAAAGATTTTTGTTGTTGTTGTTGTTGTTTCCTTAGCACACATAGACACAAAAAGATGCGTTGGAAATATTTTCGTGGAAAAAAAAAAAAAAAAAAAAAAAAAAAGGTTTATTATTTAAAAAAAAAAAAAAAAGTTGCTACTCCTGGAAGCCCTGTTTGTCCAAAGGGCTGTCAGGGCGCTCACAATACCTGCGATTGATGAGGCGGAGCGGCCAATCAGCGGCGGGCGGCGGCCGAGCGCGCCCCTCGTTGGCGGGGCCGGGGGGAGTTACGCGGGGAAGGGGGAGCCGCCGGCAGCCAATCAGCGCCCACGTCCGCCCGCACGTCGCCCCGCCCCCGGCTCCCATTCATCAAGGGGGGGGCCGGTGTCGTCCTTTCAATTCATTTATCTGCAGGAATGATTGCCGCTATCAGTCTCGCGTTCACCGCCCGGCTGAGGAGGTGAAAGTTTCTCCCCAGGAAGATAAACCGCAAAAGACAATATTGTGCATGATTTGCGCCTTTTTTTGCAAAGCGAAAAAAAAAAAAAAAGGCCAAAAAAAAAAAAAAATAGGGGAGAGTGTGGGGAAGCTCGAAGAGGAGAGAGAAACAATCTCTCGGCCACTTCGCGACATTCCTATAGCCAAAAAAATCACTGAAGGAAGTTTCTTTTTTGTTTTGTTTTTCTGCTGCCCGCGCCGAGCTCTCGCCGTTATTGTTATTTGCGGGCAGTTTCTTTTTGCGCCCACCCCAACCCCCCTCCCCACTTCAGCCTCCCAGAAAAGTCAAAGCAGAGAGACAGTGAATATTTTTTTGGGGCACCTTTTTTTATTATTATTATTTGCGTCTGCGAAGATCTCTTTCCCCCCTTTCCCACCAGCCTCTGTTGTTTTTTTTTTTTTTGTTTTTGTTTTTGTTTTTTTTCCTCCCCCCCTTTTTTTTCTCCCCCCCGCGCTGATGCCGAAGGGGGTGTTTTTGATGTGGTTGCTTTGGTGGTGATCGTCTCCGACTTTCCAGAGAGGGTGTTTTCGCCGCTGCCGCTGCTGCTGCTGCTTCTCTCCGCGTTGTGTGCGTGCGCGCGTGCTTTTTTTTGGGTTGCTGCATCGACGCTGGGAAGATGCTTCTGGATGCTGGACCGCAGTATCCCGCCATAGGAGTCACTACGTTCGGATCGTCTCGCCACCACTCCGCGGCCGATGTCACGGACAGAGAAGTGGGGCTGGGAATCAACCCCTTCGCCGACGGCATGGGCGCCTTCAAACTCAACCCCGGCGGCCACGAGCTGGCCTCGGCCGGGCAGACAGCCTTCACCTCGCAGGCTCCGGGCTACGCGGCGGCGCTGGGGCACCACCACCACCCGCCCCACGTCGGCTCCTACTCCAGCGCCGCGTTCAACTCCACCCGGGACTTTCTGTTCCGCAACCGCGGCTTCGGGGAGGCCGCGGCCGCCAGCGCCCAGCACAGCCTCTTCGCCTCCGCCGCCGGCGGCTTCGGCGGCCCGCACGGACACGGCGATGCCGCGGGACATATACTTTTCCCCGGGCTGCACGAGCAAGCGGCTGGCCACGCTTCGCCCAACGTGGTGAACGGGCAGATGCGCCTGGGCTTCTCCGGAGACATGTACGGCCGAGCCGAGCAGTACGGCCAGGTCACCAGCCCCCGCTCCGAGCACTACGCCTCGAGCCAGCTGCACGGCTACGGCCACATGAACATGAACATGGCAGCGCACCACGGGGCGGGGGCCTTCTTCCGCTACATGCGGCAGCCCATCAAGCAGGAACTCATCTGTAAGTGGATTGAGCCCGAGCAGTTGGCGAACCCCAAAAAGTCCTGCAACAAAACTTTCAGCACGATGCACGAGCTGGTGACTCATGTCACCGTGGAGCACGTTGGAGGACCCGAGCAGTCCAATCACATATGTTTCTGGGAAGAGTGCCCGCGAGAAGGGAAACCTTTCAAGGCCAAATACAAACTCGTAAATCACATCCGAGTCCACACAGGTGAAAAACCTTTCCCCTGCCCTTTCCCAGGCTGTGGCAAAGTGTTTGCCAGATCAGAGAATCTCAAAATACACAAAAGAACTCACACAGGTACGGTAACCTTCTCTGTAGCCTTTCTGTCTGCGCGTGGACTCGCGAGGCCGGGTCGGGCCGGGCCGCTTCGGGGCCGTTCGCTGCTCCCGGGGCCGCGGAGCTGCAGGGTGGTGCTGGCTCGAGCTCGGGCACGGCGGCGGCCGCGACAAAAAGCGAGCGGTGCCCGGGAGGCGGAGGGGGAGAGAGGCGCGGTTTGCTGTCGGAATGGTGAGGGCAGGGGGGGAAAATAACCGCAGCGACCTGGTCTTGGTAAATTTATAGGTTTTAATTAATAGTTCTTCGGCAGTTTTGAGTGTGGCGCGATGATAAACGGTGCTAAATATTGCAGGCGGCTTCATCCGTCTCCCCTGTGCGATTCAGGGGCTGGTAAATATTTAATTCCGTGGAGCGATTGGAAATCAAGCGAGCCGAGCGCTTTCGCGTGTTATTGTTGTGCGGAGGAGGGCGGGCGCCGGGGGCCTGAGAACTTTTCCCTGCCGCGGGAGGCGGCCGTGCTGCTCTGGGCCGGGAGCGCTCCCCCCCGCACCGCTCCGCGCCGAGCTGCTCCGAGGAGGGTTCGTGGGGTTGCGGCTCCCGTGCATGTCTCGGTCCGGCCGGGCCGAGCTCGGTACTGCGGAAGAATACGGGGGAGGGGGCCGAGGGTAAAATATCACGAGAGCGAGGCGTGAAAATGGCAAGCAGACTCTGAGATCGGATGGAAATAGCGGCACGCCGGCTCTGCCTCTCGCTTCCGAGCGCCGCGAAAAGGAAGCGGGAGCAGCGCCTAGGGCTGGGCTGCAGCTGGAATTCGCCCCTGCGAACAGAGAGAGGGGAAAAAAGAAAAGTTCTTGGGTGCTCTACTCCTCCCTCCATTTGGAAATGGGCGCCGAGAGCGGGTCGGAGGTGCGGATAGGACAGAAGAGAGCAGGAAGGTCTGGGGCTTTGAGCCCCGCTGAACTTAGAAAGTTGCGAGTGTTTGCGGTGGAGCCCCGTGCTCCCGTCCGGCGCTGCGGTGGGGGCGAGCAGAGATCCGGCGGCCCTGCCTAATCCGATCCGTTTTTTCCCCCTCCTTCCCTCTGCAATAGGTGAAAAACCATTTAAGTGTGAATTCGAGGGCTGTGACAGGCGCTTTGCAAACAGCAGCGACCGCAAAAAGCACATGCATGTGCACACTTCCGACAAGCCCTATCTCTGCAAAATGTGTGACAAGTCCTACACGCACCCCAGCTCCCTCAGAAAGCACATGAAGGTAAATGGAGGGCGCCCGCTGTGCGGGGCGCTGCGGCTCCGCCTTGGGCCTGGCCGGGGGAAGGGGCTGCGGGGACGGCCGCGGGCAGCACCCGCCGGGCCGTAGGGAGCGGTGCCCGCGGGCGGAGCGAGGAGAGAGGCGCGGGGCCGCCGAGGAGAGCCGAGCCCCGGCCCGGAGCCCGCTCGGGGCCGCCCCCGCCCCGCCGCGCCGGGCAGCGCCGTTTGAGCGGCCGGGGAGGGAAGGGGGGAGACCCGGCGCGCAGGGCCTGGACCCGAGGAATGCCCCGAGGGGGGCACCGGGCCGCAGCTCGGCGCCGGGTGTCGATGTTGGGCGCGTCCCCGCGGAACGCCGCCGCCACCGGGGCCTGGGGCCGCCGCCGCGCTCTATTTCTGCCCGGGTTCTCTCTTGCAGGTCCATGAATCGTCCTCGCAAGGGTCCCAGCCTTCTCCCGCCGCCAGCTCAGGCTACGAGTCCTCCACCCCTCCAACCATCGTGTCTCCATCCACAGAAAACCAGACCGCCAGCTCCTTATCCCCTTCCTCCTCCGCAGTCCACCACACGTCCAGCCACAGCACGCTTACATCAAATTTTAACGAATGGTACGTTTAAAACGCTAAAACAAAGCAGCGAAAAAACACAAACAGAAACAAAACAAAAAAAGCCCCAAGCGAGCGAATCCAGACCCTATTTAAAAGACTCCAAAAATAATGAACACTCTGAAATCAGAATAAAAAAAAAAGAGCAAACAAAAACAAAATGCTGCCAGTAGACCCAGGACTGAGTAAAATGAAGACTCATTTTTTTTGTTTGTTTGTTTTTCTTCCTTTTTTTTTTTTCCCTCTTTTATTTCTCTCTCTTTTTTTCCCCCTGTTTATTCTTCCTTTTCTTTTTTTTTTATTAATTATTATTAATTTTTTTTTCCTTTTTACTTTTTGGACTGTTCAGCTCTGCTCTGTTCCAAGGCTTGGTAGGCGAAGGGTTTAGTAGGATGCATAAGAAGACAAGGTTACCAGGGCAAATGCCAACCGTGTAGGGCTGTACTGGAAACCACTGATTAGAGCTCTCCAACTGCATGTCTGCTCGGGCAGCGGCCTTCCCCCACTCCCTCTTGTAAATACAGAATTATTAGCTTCAAAAAAGTTAAAAAAAAAAAAAAAAGAGAGAGAGAGAGAGAGAGAGAAAACACAAAAAACATGAACGTACTGTTTCATTTTGTACATAGTTATACCGCAGTCGAAGCCGGGGAGACGTGGAGTTGTGGTTGCATCTATGTGGGGGGAGGGGCGGGCGGGGGGGGAGAGGAGAGGGGGGTGGCGGTGGGGGGGCCGAGGGGAGAGGTAGAAATCCAACTATTTGTACTGAATGGCAAGAATGTTCTAGTAAATGTGTACCAAAATGTGAATTACTTTGTATTATTACAGTCTAAACGTCGATCTAACAGAATATTATTGGTATTAATGTGCTTTTTTGTATAAAGTGCAACATTTCGTCCCAAAGTCCAGTCTAAGTAGTGCAGTAAAATGTTGTTACACGTCCTGTCAAGAAATTCGTATAGTGAAAGCCTGGATCTGCGTGTCAAACTGTTACATTTGTTTATGTAAAGTGATATTAAAAAAAAAAAAAAAAAAAAAAAAAAAAAAAAAAAAGAGATAAACTATATCTGTCCGTTGCTTTTGGCAAATACAAGAACATAATGTATATAAATCCTAATTTCCATATTTATCCGCATGTAAAGGTCCGGTTATACATGTTACAAGATATTCAATATTTATGGCTAGAAGAATTGGTATGTAAAATTTAGTTTACAGAACTGTTTGGTAACATTTCGTACCTTATTAAAGATTCTTAAATCCCACGAATGGTGGTAGGAATCCTTATTCGCTCAGTCAACCTGCTGCAACTCCGACTAGCTTTAGGATATTAGGATAAAACTGTCCCAGTTTTTCACTGCTTTCCATTATGTCATCACTAAAGCAGCGAAGGTGATATAAATGTGATAAATGAAAGGATCCCTGCTGGCATTACTATAGTGTGTAATTAGTATTTATATCAAAATTTATGAAACAAATTTTCGGCCGCAGTATAATTTAAATGACCTTTGCAGACATAGAATAACAACCATAAAAATAACAGAAATAGATTGCATATGCTACATAAATATTAATGTGGGGAATTGTTACACGAGAAGTGCTTCACTCCACTCCAGCACTGCCCATGAATCTGCATGGACCGGGTCCCTAAATTAAATTAATTCGGATAACATATATTAGGAGATTTAAAACAGAGGAGATTTCGGTTGCTATTTTAATTTAGAGCATTTATGACCATAACTAATTCTCAGGCAGTGGATTCATGACTTTCCTTGGGCCTTTCACTCCGAGAGATGCAGCACTGTGTCACGAAGGCTGTTGTTGTTGTTGTTGTTGTTGGGTGTATTTTTGGTTTTTGATTCTTTTTTGGTTCTTTTTCTTTTTTTTTCCTCCTTTTTTCCTTTTTTCCCCCCTTTTCTTCTTCTTTTATTTTTTCCCCCTGATATTCCTTAAGACGTGATGTTAATTTAAATCAATTACTTCTTATGCTATGTTATTATTATTACTATAAATTTGCCAGTGTTAATAGCTTTCTAAAAAATAAATCTAGAGGGTAAGAATTATTTTATGTAATTTGATTATCTTTCTATCTCTTTTATTTATTTCTCATTTACTTAAGAAATTCGTTCCATTGGCTGGCGTTGATACAGTAAATTTGTAAATGAGAAGACAATATAAAAAATCTAAATTACTTGTGCTTAATGACTGTAGCAGAACGCCTTTTCTCTAAATCAGATTGTCTTTCTTGCAGTTTAGTTTGATAGATTTGCAAGCTGTACTGCTTCCACTAACTTAGCTACGGTTGTTGGAACTGTTGGGCTTTGTTCCTGGTTGTAGCTTGCATGATCGCCCCATTAAGCAGACAACATATCAACAGACAACACAAATCATGAGCTTGGCTAAAGCTGCGAGCGCTTGTGATATGTCATAGAGTGAATTGCACGGACTGACCTTCCAGTAGACCAGGATGACACTTTAACAGCTTCTTTAAAGAAATATTATGTGTACGGCGACTCAATGGGGATATGAACCGCGGGGGA